ATCGGAAGTTCCACAGGAACTTAAGGAAGCATTTCTTCACTGTGAGGGTGACAAAGCACTGGAACAGGCTGCCCAGAGAGGTTGTGGAGTCTCCTTCTYTGGAGATCTTCCAAACCCCCTTGGACGCAGCCCTGTGCCCTGTGCTCTAGGTGACCCTGCGTGWGCAGGGGGGTTGGACTAGATGATCTCTGAGGTCCCTTCCAACCCTAAGCATTCTATGATTCTATGATTCTCTAAAGCAGACTATTACCTCATTTCAGAAACCAAAACTAATTAATCAAGCTGTTGAAAAAATGTTGGAAACAGCCAAAATTCAATCTCAGAATTTTATATTTAAGCTATGGCTATAATCAATAGAGTAAAAATGTGAGAATCCTAGCATAAGTCTAAAAAAGAGATATTTGCAAAACTCTATGTCCTTAGTAATACATGAAATGAATAGTTCATGAGAAACAACTATACAGTTACAAGTAATTGTACTCAATCGTATTGAAAARAAGTGCTCTAACCAAATTCGTTATTGTTAAGCAAGCATTAATCTCACTGTATTTTTTATGCAAGATGTGCTCTCTTTAAGGCATGAAACTATGGTAAAATTAGCATATGTATAGTGGCCACAGCATTAAGAAAATGCATCACTCAAGTGACCCTGTCATGGAGTTGMATAAGAAATAAGTTCCCTGTGTACCTCTGCTAGGTACCTACAGGGAAACAAGTGAGAAGAAGCAGGATAACATTTCAGTTAATCTTTTATAATGTAACTGGTCATCAAGTTTGCTTACAGCTGTGATATACTTAGTGATTTCAGTGCCTCTTTTAAGTGCTTTTTGGCGATTCAAATTTTTGCCATGTGCATTAATTGCATATGGTACTTCCTGATATTGTCTATCCCCACTGTAATGTGTACACACATCTTGTACATATACACATCTAATTGCAAATTAAATACATACTTAGTATTGTATTTAATAGGCTGTGTGCAAATAGGTAAGGTGATTTTACTGTTTCGATACACAGCTCTGTTTTCAGTTGCTCATAATGTTGCCAAATACAATTTTCCAACCAAGAGGCCAACTTATGAGCCCAACTGGATTTAATTGCTCAAGAGATCTCAGTCTTAGCTTTCCCCACCTTCTAACCTTGTAATAAGAGTGTTTTTTCTGTGTCAGCTGTGGTTTCTAGCAGACATATTACTTGACAGAGAAATCCCYGTTAAATCACAGCAATGGACAACTACCCTGCCACCCTCCTGGTGCTTCTGCTAGAGGATCCCAACCTCCAACGGAGGGTGATGCACGAAGGGGGCAAGTGCAGCTACGTTTGAAAGGACTTGGGATAAAAGTCCTCAAGATGATTTAAAAGAAAAAAAGAAGTCACYGATGCATTTCTCAATAAAATGTGCCTACAAAACACCCTTTTTAAAAATAATGCAGTTGTTCTGTTAAAAGGCTTTAGTGCTATGTCCTTAGGAGCAAGGACTTAAAATCTATGAGGAGGAGTGCTGTGATAGGGTGCTATTGATTTTTTCATAGGAAGTCCTCTCCGTTTGATCAATGACTGTCAGTTCACAGATTCTCTGCTGATAATTGTTGTTTGGCAGCTAAATTCTCCAAGTGCTCAGCTGCAATGAGCAGGAGCATTTCCAGGATTTAATCTGCCTGAGGAGCTGAGCAGGAATTTCTGTGCTATTTGTGTGACAACAAGGATCCTTATCATTATGGGATGGAATAGCTATTTATGTATTTACTTAAATAAAACACATTATCTGCTTTAAAAAGCTAACCTATCAAATAAAACACTTATCTTTTGTACAAAATGCAGCAGGGAAAATTATGTAACCAATGTTTTATTCATGGGTGGCATTTGTCGTTTTCCAGAGTTGTGTGCTTGACTTCCCATTTTATTAGTGCAGTATTT